GTATCTTCCGTAGACTGTTTCCCCCCGCTCCTGCGCTTCCCGCGCGGCCAATAGGCTCGCGCCACCTGTTGCCTCGATTTCGTCTTCTAGCGGCGCCGAGCGGATCGGCTTGGAGAGGAAGAGGTGCAGGTCGAGCACGAAGGGCAGCTCTTCTGCGGTGAAAAAAGAATATGCTGTGCCCGAACGGCCCGCGCGCGCTGCTCGGCCTGCCCGATGCACGAAAAGTTTTGGCTTGGGCGGGAAGTCGAAATTTATGACGTTGTCGAGGAGAGGGATGTCGATGCCTCGGGCAGCGACGTCGGTCACGATTAGGAGAGATGTTCTTCCTGCCCGGAACTTGGCAATGTGGATTTTTCGGGCAGTCTGGTCCATGGCACCGTAAACAACCGAAGATGGTAACCGCTCGGATTGTAACACTTCGTGTAAAAGCTCGGCATGATGCTTTGTTGCAACAAATATAATCGTCTGCTTTCCATTGCCCCTCCCAGCAAACCCCCTCCTTCTTCCTGCTCCTTCTCTTGCTTCATCCTCTCTTTCTTCCCCTAATTCCTCCTCATCCTTCCCCTCTTCCCTTACTGCCCTTTCCCCCCCACCTGCCGAAGCTGACCCCACCTGAATAACCTCCTGAAGCAAATGCAGCAGGGCAGCCATCTTTTCATGCGGTCTGACCGTGAAAAAACAGAGCGCCAGGTCCGGGCTCAGCTTCGTCTCTGTATCCAATCGGATCAGCTGTGGCTCCCTCAAACCTGCCCGGGCGAACTCCGCGAGCATCTTGGGCAGCGTGGCCGAAAAAAGCAGCGTCTGGCGCGACTCGGGCATCCCGCGCAAAATCTCCTTCAGCTGGACCGCAAACCCCATTTCAAAAAGCCGGTCAGCCTCGTCAAAAACAACGTACTCCACGGATTTCAGGCTCATGCCCTCCACCTCAGCAAGGTGGTGCATGAGCCTGCCAGGTGTCGCGACGAGAATGTCCGGATTGCGCGAGAGCGCCTCAAACTGTCCCTCCATGCTGTCACCCCCCACCAGCACGGCTGCTCGCAGGTCGGTGAATTTGCCCATCTCCTTGGTGAACTTGAACGTCTGTAGGGCCAATTCTCTGGGAGAGCGGGTGATTGTAAGAGGGTGATGGGGACAGGGAAGGACAAAAAGGAAGGAAGAGGCGGGAGGGGGAGATGAGTGGAGAGGATGTGCGCGTCAGGATTGCAGAGAAGGCGTTCCTTTTGAGAATTCTCAAATAGAAGGCGTTCCTCTGTGCAGCCAGCGCCTGGGAATGCCCTCACCTCACCCACCACCAGCACGGCCGCTCAGAGATCCGTGAATTTGCGCAATCCCTCGGTGAACTTGAACGTCTGTAGAGCCTACTCTCTGGGTAGGTGGTTGGGGAAGGTGAAGCAATAATAGCAAGGGACAAGGGATGTGAGAGCGCGAGAAGAAATGCAGTCCAGCAGGATGCAATGCCTCAGGTCTGTCAGGATGATGGTTTTCCGCCCGCACGACAGCTTCAAGGTCGGTGCACTTACCCAGCTCCTTGGAGAACTTGAAGGTCTCCAGGGCAGCTCTCTGAGTGGTTGGGTGGGTGACTGTGATGTGATACGAGTGGGTGATTGGGATGTGATTGGAACAGGTGAGGACCAAGAGCAGGATGGATGCGCAAAAGACGGCATGGATAGGTGCCTGATGCGTGAAGATAGTTCTTTTGCACTATCACCACCTCGGTCGGTATGCCAACTAGTCTAGTAACCCCTTGCAGACCCTGTCATAAGGCGGTCTGTGAGTCTGCCAAGCTTCCAGGTGGTTACCACCTGACCAGGGGAAGAGGAGAGATCAGCAGCGTGAGAGGTCAAACCAAGACTCCTAGTTTCCTGGCAACATTCTTCCGTAAGATAGAATACAAGTGCCGTTTAATCAGAAACTTCAGAAGTTCCTTGTGCGGTTAAGCCCTGAACCCTTCAGTCCTGCACCATGCGCCAACCCCTGAACCCCTAGCCTGAGTTACTCGCTAACCCCTAGACCATGCACCTCAGTACGAACTGACGGCGGCAGAAAAGGCTACACCCGGAACCCCTTAGGCTCAACCCTTCACGCAGTAGGGGTTTGAGGCGGCATGGTTAACGTTTCCACATACTAGGAGGCAGAAACGCATACGCTAGCTCCGCGTTTCGAGAATAAACTCAACGCGTATCCGCACAATAAACCCCCTATCATAATGGCATGCTCTGAGTTTCGTCCACCACGCCCAATTCCCTCCCCTACGCACCCCCTCCTGCGCCACCGTCGCACCTCGTAGGCGAGAGAATCACAGCGCGGATCCCGGCCGTGTTCGAGTGCGCCTTGAGCCGTTCGATCATGGGAATGAGAAACGCCGCCGTTTTGCCGGACCCGGTGCGCGCCATGGCGACCACGTCCTGCCCCGCGAGCACCAGCGGCAGCGTTCGCCGCTGGATAGGCGTCGGCACCTGGTAGCCCTTGCGTCGCACCGCGCGATACACGGGGGCACTCAGGCCCATGCTCTCGAATCCAAACGATTTTGATTTCTTCTTCTTCGCGCCTTGCCCCGACACAGGAGCAAAGGCCATTCCGACGTCTTCTGATGGAAACATGCTTTCTGTTTCGCCCCCGTCCATCTGTTCTTCGCGCCTCGAGGAACAAACTCGAGCTAGTAGTGGTAATGGAGAGGAATTGGCGCTCGAAAGTGGTTTCTCTCTGGTCGAGAAGAGGTTTGACAACTGGGTTTTGGGGTGTTCCACAAGCGCAGGAAAGTGCATGTTCCCTTTCCACCACTCCATTTCCGCAAGCCACTTTTCTGGGTGGAAATGGCTTTTCACTTAGCTTAGCTAGTCCAAGTTCCTTTGAATGTAGGAAATAATGTTATTACTCAGGCGAAATTAAAACCTGCTCTCGTGAACGAATAATACAAAAGCAATATCTATTGGTGCCCGATTGTCAGTTTTGTCTGCCCTATCGCTAAACCTCTCAGCGAGTTGTAGCTGAAAGAATCGTTACTCTCAAACGAGTCACATTCTAGCGAATCTGAGATCTTGCAAACCCGCCGCCCACTGTCATCCCTCCATTGCTCTCCATCTTGCTCTTCCCACTCCCAGTCGCAACGGTCTTGGCAGCAACAGGTTCAGGATTGAATGGCCGCCAGATGCGGAGAGTCTCATCAGCTGAGAGGGAAGCTATGATGTCACCGTCAGGGGCCTGTCATGGGTGGTAAACGAGGCACGACATTAGCACATTAGGGCCTGATTTGCATATGCGTGAGTGCTCGGCGATCTCTTACCTGCGCGGTTGCCACCACACGGTCTTTATGCCCTTTAAGACGGGCCAGCGGTACGAGGGAGGGATATTTCGATACGATCAGCTGGTTCGTGTTCGCTCCGTACCCATGCGCGCTTACGATCTCACGGTCCTTCTTGCTCCAGTGCAAACCCGTGACCTGACAAGGTACAACAACGAATTAGTGACTGGATCGATTTTTAAAAGATAGACTCATAAGCCGGCTAACTATCAGTCTCCGGTGTAGCCTGCCATGTCAATTGTGCGATTGCCTACCTGCGACTCTGCGTCAACGCTCTTCTCGCACGCGCCAGTCTGCGTGTTCCAGAACCGGATGGTGCAGTCGTTCACACCCCCTCCCGTCGCCAGCAGGTGCGTTCGGAATGGACACCACGCGAGAGCCTTAACCGCCCCGCGGTGCTCCGCAAATCGATGAAGCAAAGGCACGTGGGATCCAGTAGAACTAGTAGCAGCAGAGCTGGCGTTCGTCCTCCGGAGATTTGCTCCATCGCGGCGGCCAGCCGCGTCCGGTGCGGTAGACGACGACATGAGGGCTGTGTCCCAGATGTGCACGAGGTTGTCGTCTCCCCCGCTGGCGAGCTGGCGCCCAGACGGAGCCCACTTCATCCCGCATACCCCTTTGCGATGGGCCGTGAGACGTGCGACGATGTGTTCCCGGGCGCGAACTGCTCATGAAAGATATGACTAACGTTAGGCTGGAGCGTACGCATCAAACAGAGTTTGTTTCAAAGAGGTGAGTGATTATATCCGTTTTTGGTGGAAGCGAGGTTCGTGGGATGAACGGGAAAGTATGGCTTACCATCATGGTTGATGATCGTTCCAGCATTATCGCCGGCTGATAATAGTGTCTTGTACCAGTCCATTGCACAAATAGGTGCCGAATGCCCCTTGAAGGTACGAACCTGCAGTTCATGGCCAAGCACCAGTCAGTCAGGATTCGTACGAAACTGACTCAAGGACGTTTCTAGCAGATACTGGCCTGTTGTGGGATGGAGACGTTCCAGACTTGGACTTCGGAACTGCTGACCCCTATGGCCAAGTGTACGCCATCAGGAGCCCAAGAAACTCCTGTCACGTAGGGAGATTGTCCATCATCCGTTTCAACAGACATGAGCTCCATGGATTCTTCGTTCTGAGCATTCCAGATAAACACTGATGTTCCGAGGGCTACAGCGACCAAGTCAGAGATGCTCCAGTCTATCAATTGGAGGTAGAAGTTGTCCACCACTCCAGGCGCTTCCAGAGCCTTCTCTGCCTCCTGAGAAGAAAGAACAGCTTTGCAGTCAGTAATGGCACGCGTTTAATCATTTCAAACTGCATGCCTTTGGAGTAGTCACCTGAGGTATCACGCGAGGAGGGGGGTGACATCCTGAAACGTCACTGCCGTTGGCAGTCTTGGTGGAGCTGTCCAAGCCATTATTGGACCCAGCAGGTGCCTTCACTTTGAATGATAAAACTCTCGGCTTAGTTGCCGAGTTGCCAGCTCCCTCCTCTTCCAGACATCTCGTCATCAATCCTTCAAGGCACTTGCGATAATTCTCCTGGTTATTACGACGTACATTGAAAATATGTTAGTCCATAGAAGTCGAGCATGTCATCAGCCATAACAAAATTACTTACAGAGCCTGGAGTAACGAGCTTCCTGGATTCGTTCTTGTCGAAACCACCTCGAATTGAGAACGCTGAGATGTCCATGTTCATGTGGCTGCGACTTGGAATGAAACGATCACCCTGCAGCAAAACGTCGGACCAGGTCAGCAGTATGGAGATTCTAAAGGTGTATTTTTGGAAAACGCGACTTCAAACCCATTACCTCTGTCGACTTCGGGGCTGCGAATGGCGTTGTGGGAGTTATCCCAACCTTCTTATATGCTTTCTTCACCGAAGGTGCTGGTGTTGCTGAAGGTTTTGCCTTGAGTTGGCTGCATCCCGCCTTGACCGAGGATACCGGCGGCTTTTTACCATGTTTGCTGCTGGGTCCTGATCTACATGAAGATGCTGGACCTCCCGTCTTTCCGGGGGTCTTCAACTTGCTCTTCAATAGAAATGGACTTCTTGTTGGCGTGTCCATGATCGTACTCATCGCTACGGCGAAGTCCATTTCAGTACTGCAGAGAAACTAACGGAGTACACGTGAGCGTTCGCCGCTACAAGCAAGCTTCTTGACAGGAAGCGAAGACACCCGCTGTGTGAGATTTTGCAGCGATACCAACTGGAAAAACGTCGGAGTACGACTGATGCTTGTAGCGAACAGACTCGTTGGACAACCGGCGAGCACCTTCAGCTTCCTCAGCCAGGCTAAGCGGCCGCTCACTGGTTCTATGAGGTTGCATGGTGTCCAGGCACTGACAATGGCGGCGGAAAGGTATCCTCCCGCCTTACACGAGGAGTTGCTCCGGAAATGCCTTTCTGAAGTAAGCGCCGCGGACTTCATGTGGTCAGAGTGTACGCAATATTAGGCGCTTCAATCGCAAAGGTAAAAAGCATTTCGACAAATAATAGTATCTGTAGAATCATCCTTGATTTTGCAGTCAGTGTTGCCGTCAGGTTATGGTGTCGCAATTCAACTTATGCATCAGAAATTTCAAACACGGTTCCGTCAATCATCCAACGAATGGAGCTTCGAGTATCTGTGACAACAATCTGCCCGGCTTGGTCAGGGCAGATAAACCAAACCAACAAACTTACGGCAGGTGACGGCCGGTGTCAGAACGCGCTGCTCCGCTTCTCAACCGACCAGCCGAGCTGACGTTAGCGGCAACTCAAATAGTCGGACCGTTGGAAAAAACTGACGAACAACCTATTTTAGCCAGGGTGAGCCTCCATACAAACTGTTCTTTAAGTACATGAAACATGTCGCGTACACTCCCTGAGTTCCATAGGGATGCCCGTTCTCTTTGCTGCGCCAACCACCAATCACACGCAGCAGCGGCTTCCCGCCTCCACTCACGCGCATCAATCTCCAAAGCCCAAGGGGAGAACCACATTCTTCCACATCCTTCAGCAGAAGGATCCTGTCCGGCCTGAATCCTGATTTTGATTCCTGATCATGGAATTCCTCTCATGAGAGCGGCATCTCCATCTGAGCTTCGATTTTAGCGGCCTGGGAGCATTCAGCAGCTCCTGATTTGGCTTGCACCGTGACCTTCACGACAGAAGCACGCAATTGACGGTATTGCGTCGGACGTTAGGAGAAGCAGCCCTTACGTGCCCTGCTCAAGATTTGATTGTTAGTCTCAGATCGTCTCTATCACACTTAATCCATGGCGGAGGAGAAGGCTGGAACCGGTTTCTACGCAGACATTGTCGACGGAGATGTGTATAAGTACTTCTCGCATGGCGAATGGAGAACGACAGCTTCAGGCAAAACAGTCAACATCATTAATCCCTGTACCCGCACCGTAGTATACAGAGTTCAAGGTGAGCCGCTACTCTGCTCGTTTCACGACGAATGCCAATTATCGACGATTCGACTTCAGTGGCATCTCTACCTTTATTCAATTCCAGACCAGCAATGCCGTTTTGCATGACATCGTGGATAGTGATCATCGACGCGTTAGGTTCCTAACACCACCCCCGCCTCCTATTTTTTTCAAGCAGCGTGCATGCAAGAGGAGGTGGACGGCGTGTTCGAGAGCGCCAAGGTGGCGCAGAAGAAATGGGCCAAGACGCCGCTGTGGAAGCGCGCCGAGCTGCTGCACAAGGCCGCGCACATCCTTCGCGAACACAAGGACCCCATCGCCGACTGCCTCATTAACGAAGTCGCCAAGGCCAGAAAGGACTCCATTACCGAGGTACGACTGAGCTACACTCCACCATTACCGATCCGGTGTGACGTTTGGATACAGTCCAATGCTGAGTTGAAGGCTCGCGTTTTTTGAGAATGCAACTACTGCATTGCCGAATGCCGCGTGAAAGAGCTCGTCAAGGCGAGAAAGGATCAAAAAGACGACCACGCAAGGATTTGCAAGGCTTTGGTATTATACCTTACTCCCCACCCTACCATCAGCACCTATTTTTCTTACTCACAAGCTAGAGCTTGCGAACTATTGGGTGAGGCAAGAACCATCGCCGTGGACAACTCTTCTCAAATCAACGTCACCCACAGCGTCGTCTTTTTAACTTTCATTAATGAAATCTAACCAACGCCACTCCGAGCCCAGGTGCTGCGTTCAGCGGACTTCGTGTCGTACTGCGCGGAGGAGGGCGTGCGGCTGCTGGCGGAGGGCAAGTTCCTCACAGGTGACAGCTTCCCTGGCAACGACCGCACCAAGCTCTGCATGGCCTCCAAGGTGCGTACGTGCAAGCAAGGCGGCCGAGGTGCATGCAAGGTGGTCAAGGTGGGTGCTGGGCGGGCAAGGTGGGTGTATGATGGTTAAAGAAGGCCGCCAAGGTGGGTGCATGGCAGCCAATCTGAATTCACCTGCATCTGTACCAGTCCTGTCCTCCTGCAGGTTCCTCTCGGCATGGTCCTGTGCATCCACCCTTCCAGCACTCCTCACTACAGGGTTGACTCAACATGTGCATGCATTGTCGTGTGCATGGCAGGTGCCGTTGGGAGTGGTGCTGTGCATCCCGCCCTTCAACTATCCTGTCAACCTTGCTGTCTCCAAGATTGCTCCTGCGCTCATTGCTGGCAACTCCGTCGTGCTCAAGCCTCCCACCCAGGTATTTACAGTTTGAACATTCCACTCAGCTGCTGACAAGTAGAACATTCCACTCATACACTGACAGAAATTGCATCCCACTCAGGCGCTGACAGGTAGAGCATCCCACTCAGGCACTTACAGTTGAAGCCTCTCTTGATATGCGAGATGAAATTCGAGTTGACTGAGAAGTCATATCGCAGGCAGAGCCAGCGTGCTCAAGCGTCCCTCTTTGGTACTTGCAGTTGAAGCTTCCCTGGGCTTGTCAGAGTGCCATCTCCCATGCACGTGCTGCTATGTCCTCACAGTTCTGCACCCGATATAGTTGCGCATGCTGGCATGTCTGTCCCTTTAAATCCACACCACGGGGTGCGGTGGCAGGGCTGCACTTGGTGCAATGCTTCCACCCTTTCTTCACCCTGCTATGCACCCATCCCTCAACGGTATATTCACAGGGTGCAGTGGCAGGGCAGCACATGGTGTGACGCTTGCATCCCTTATTCCCATATTCCTCATTGCCCAATGCACCATCCTTGCCCCTGGTCGCCCCTCTACCTCCACGTCACAGGGCGCGGTGGCAGGGCTGCACATGGTGCGGTGCTTCCAGGAGGCGGGGTTCCCCAAGGGGCTCATCAGCGCTGTCACTGGCAAGGGCTCCGACATCGGGGACTTTCTCACCATGCACCCCGCTGTTGACTGCATCACGTGAGTGGGCTTGTTGACTTATGAGTTGACTTTAAAGATTTTACTTTTGAGTCGACTCAAAAGTCTCCTCACCATGCACCCCGCTGTTGACTGCATCACATGAGTGGGCTTAGGGAGGGATAGGGGCTTGCTGCTGATTGCTATGCGTGAGGGGGATGCAGTGAGAGGAGGGCTTGTTGTTGACTGTTTCATGCCCCCGCCCTGCACCCTGTTGTCGACTGCATGATGATAGCTAGGATGGGTGTTTGATGTGACTGAGTCAGGTGAAAAGGCATGAGACAGGACATTAAGGAGGACTGCCACATGATGCACCCTGCATGGATGCTTGTTGTCGACTGTATCAGCACCAAAGGAAGAAAGTGGAGAGAAGGATGCTCGTTATGAACTGTTGCATCATATGCGTATACTACACCTGCAATGCAGAAATAGAGCTGTTCTATACGGAACTGATTCCCGAACATCCCCATCACATCACCCTATCTTTCGGGGGCCCCCCTTTTCAGCTTCACAGGTGGACACGGGTATGCAGGCATGGTGCCATTGCAGGTGAAATCGACTCAATTTCATGCTTCTGGACGCGCTCATCCCCCTATCCCTCTCCCACAGCTTCACGGGCGGTGACACGGGCATATCCATCTGTCGCAAGGCGGGCATGGTGCCAGGGAAGATGGAGCTGACTCGCCCCTGTCCTTCCCCCCTCTCTTCCCCCAATCCCTCCCCCCCCTCCTCCCACTCTTCCCGCAGTTTCACGGGCGGTGACACGGGCATATCCATCTGTCGCAAGGCGGGCATGGTGCCGGTGCAGATGGAGCTGGGCGGCAAGGATGCCTGCATCGTGCTGCCTGATGCTGACCTCGACCTTGCTGCCGCTAACATCGTCAAAGGAGGCTTCTCCTACAGGTAATTCCATCACCAGGTTATCACGTTACCAGATACGCCGGTCAGAAGGTAACCAAGGCACCAGGTAAGGCTGTCTCCATGTAATCATACCACCAGGTAAGCCCAGCACCAGGTAAGCCCTTCACCAGATGCGCTTTTGTTTACAGTCAGCCCTGTACGCTGGCTGGATCTGCTCTGTTCATGTACCTCCATCTCAACTCCAACCGTCCTTCTGCTTCCACTGCCTTCCAATCACTTCGTGCCACATCAGCGGCCAGCGGTGCACAGCGGTGAAGGTGGTGCTGGTGATGGAGGACGTGGCAGACGCGCTGGTGGAGCGGGTGAATGCCAGGCTGGCGAAGCTGACGGTGGGGCGGCCAGAGGACGATGCTGACATCACCCCGGTGGTCAGCGAGTCGAGTGCCAACTTCATTGAGGGGCTTGTCTTGGATGCCAAGGACAAGGGCGCGCTCTTCTGCCAGGTGGGCTTTTGGAAAGGTGTGCATGGGTGTGTGTGGGTGTGTGGGGATGTGTTCTGGCGTGTGTAGCTGTGTATTGCTGGCTCTGTGTGCGGGTGGTCAGCGAGTCGAGTGCCAACTTCATAAAGGGGCTTGTGTTGGACGCCAAGGTCAAGGGCGCGCTCTTCTGCCAGGTGGGTGTGCAGAGGTTTTATCAACGGTACTGTGAGGTTGTGGGTGTGGTTGAGTGGGTGGGTGTGGTGTTGCGTGAATGTGGTGTCTGTCTGTTTCTGTGTGATGGTAGTCAGGGAGTCGAGTGCCAGCTTCATTAGGGTGCGTACTGGACACCGAGGATGCCAAGGATGCGAGGGATGGGAGGAAGAGCCCTCACAAATACCCCTCTCTCCGTCTCATACCGCCCATATCCCATCTCCCTCATCCCCAGGAGTACAAGCGCGAGGGCAACCTCATCTGGCCGCTCCTTATCGACCACGTGCGGCCCGACATGCGGCTGGCGTGGGAGGAGCCCTTTGGCCCCGTCGTGCCGGTGATCCGCATCACCACGGTGGAGGAGGGCGTGCACCACTGCAACGCCAGCACCTTCGCTCTGCAGGTGAGTGCGTCTGCACGTGAGGGGGAGCCTGGTAGGTACGGGTAGCTCTGCCCGTTGGATTCAGCACGGTGGAGGATGACCAACGTCAGCACATTCCCGCTACAGGTCACTTGTGAAGTGTAAACCTGTGTGCATGAGTCAATGTACGTAAATGAGTGAGTGAGTGAGTGAGTGAGTGAGTGAGTGAGAATGCAAAGCACGCATCAGGAAGCATACATGATGGAAGCTCACACTATTTGCAGATATGCAGGAAAAAATAAAAACAAACAAACAAACAGAGACCTATGTCATGTGCCATAACCTCTACTCCCTTCCCCTCCCCACCATCCCTCCAGGACTGTGTGTTCACAAAGGACACCGACAAAGCCATCATGATTGCAGCTGCCATGGAGACCAGCGCATCACCAGCCAGTGTCTTGTTACCTTGCCCCACTGACACTTCCATCTGCCACTCCCTCCACCCCTTCATCCACCCTTCCGGGCTGTGTGTTCACGCATGGCATCAACAAGGCCATCATGATTGCAGCTGCCATGGAGACCAGAAGGCAGCACACCAGGCCACTTGCTCACTTACGACACATGCCACTCGCCCCCACACCCCACTCTCTCCAACCCCGCTGTACCCCAGGGCTGTGTGTTCACGAGGGACATCAACAAGGCGATTATGATCGCAGACGCCATGGAGACCAGAAGGCAGAACACCAGTTCACTCATGCATGACACATGACACTACCCCATCATCCCCCCAGGGCTGTGTGTTCACGAGGGACATCAACAAGGCGATCATGATAGCAGACGCCATGGAGACGGGCACAGTGCAGATCAACGCAGCGCCTGCCAGAGGGCCTGATCACTTCCCCTTCCAGGTCACCCGTTTCCCGCTGCTATGAGTGGTTGCATGTTTCTCGTTAATGTTAGCCGTCTTGCTTCTTATATGCGCTTATGTTGTTCTGTGTCGTTGCATGCACTATGTGTGTTGTTATGTGGCTCACTCCCTTTTTCTTTTCAGTTTGCTCACCACCACTCTTTTCATCTTCTCCCCTACACATCCCCTTCTTCAGCCCCCCTTTTCACATTGCCTTCATCCGTCCCTCCTCTCCTCGTGCCTCCCCCGTCGCTTCAGGGTTTCCGGGAGAGTGGCATCGGGTCGCAGGGTGTCACCAACAGCATTCTCATGATGACCAAAGTCAAATCAACGGTCATCAACCTCCCTGCTCCGTCCTATGCGATGGCCTAGATTGGCATCAACCCCCCGTTGCAGCCTCGGACATTGCAGCCTACATGTGCGTAGTGCAACCCAGGTAGATATTCGCAGTGTACTTTCTGTCTAGCCATAAGTTGTTGCTACATAAAGCATGCATGCACCTTCAAGGTGGTGATCCAACCAATCCGCAGTAGAGTGCACATCATCTTAAACAAAGTAGGTCAGCACAGCATAAAATGTACAGCTCCGATCTGCCTTTAGTAGTTGTGGAGGTAGAGGAATTGAGGTACTGTACACCTCTACGGCATAATCTCCGTCTGCTGCAGAGGGTTTGTCATATCTACTACTGTGCCAATACTGTTAAATTTCATGGATGATTTATTCAAGTGCCTAGTTATTCAGGAACATCCATAACTTAGCTTCTCATGGTTCAAGCTAGAACACTATTGTTGTTGCTGCTGACAACAGCCCTGGCTAACAAACACATTTGAAGCTCTCGCCCTTAACAGAGTCAATCCCATCCTCTCACCACCGTGTGTGCAGAGCAGAGGTGTTCTTTCTTCACCCTTCGAATCCAACTAGTTGACAAACACCTTGAACTTTTGCCCCTTGACACAATCGATCCCAGCGGAGCTAGTGAAGTAGATCCACATGCCGCGGTACTTATCAGGGATCTTGTACGCCACCGTGCCCTTCTTGGCCTGCGCTGCCAAGCGCTCCGTCTTGGTCGTGAGGTCACAGCTTGTCCACGATGCCTTGGAGAACAGCTGCACCACGTCATCCACCGTGTTGGGGCTTGACCACTTGAACTCTGCAGAAGGGGGATGGGAGTGGGATGGCGGAGGGACAAGAATCAGGTGATGAGTCGCTTGGAGAACAGATGCACCACACTGTCTTTCGTGTTGGGGCTTGGCCACTTGAACTCTGTGCCAGGTAGCAGGGGAGGGGAGGCGGTAGGGGTGTGGAAGTGGGGTTTGAGGGGAATCAGCTCGCCCATGCTGCCGTAGAGAACAGCTGCACCACATCGTCCACTGTGTTGGCGCTCGCCCACTTGAACTCTGGAGGAGGGAGTGGGGAAGGGGAGGTTAGGGCTCGCAGAGAACCAGGCTAGTGGCTTGCAGAACAGCTGCACCACGTCATCGACTGTGTTGGCGCTCGCCCACCTGAATTCCATAGGAGGGAGTGGGGTAGAGCAGAGTGGGAAGGGTGTGGTGGGTGTGTAAGGGGTCGCAGCTCGTCCATGCTTTGGAGAACAGCTGGTCCATGCTGGCAGTCGCCCACTGGAACCCTGCACCCGGGAGCGGGGAGGATTGTGGGATGGGAGTTGGGGGGAAGAGGGAAAAGTGGTGTGTTTGTGCGTGGCTAGTGCAGCAGCACCACACCATCCACTGTGCTGCAGCTATCCCACTTGAAATCTGCACCAGAGAGAGGGGAGGGTGTTGGAGGGAACACTATGTTCAAATGAATGATCACGAGCACTATATTCAAATGAATGATCACGAACACTATGTTCAAATGAATGATCACGGACACTATGTTCAAATGAATGATCACGGACACTATGTTCAAATGAATGATCACGGACACTATGTTCAAATGAATGATCACGGACACTATGTTCAAATGAATGATCACGGACACTATGTTCAAATAAATGATCACGGACACTATGTTCAAATGAATGATCACGGACACTATGTTCAAATGAATGATCACGGACACAATGTTCAAATGAATGATCACGGACACTATGAAATAAATGATCACGGACACTATGTTCAAATGAATGATCACGGACACTATGTTCAAATGAATGATCACGAACACTATGTTCAAAGGATATTCTAAGTAGCTCTGCTCACGTAACCCGTTTCACGCACCGAGCACGTCACCGACGTAGATCTTCATGGGCGGCTCGATGGTGGAGATGCCCCACGCCCACGGGGACTTGCTGCGCGCCAGCCCCACCGTGTACTTGACGGGCTTGCGCGTCTGATGGAGGGAGCAAGAGAGTGTTGAATGTGTGTGTTGAGGGAAAGGACAAGGGAAGGGGAAGGTGTTGTGGCAGGATGTTGGAAATCACCCCACGTCCACGGGGATTTGCTCCGCCGCCAGCCCCACTGTGTACTTGATGCGCTTGCGCGTCTGATAGAGGGGATGTGAGAGAGTGTGTTGGGGGCGTGGTTGTGTATGTGTGTGTGTGTGTGTGTGTGTGGGTGGGGAGGAGAGAGTGGGGTGGGATGGGTGTGGGGGCGGTGGGACCGGGAAGGGGGTGCGTGCGTGGGTGGTGGGACAGAGTTACATCAATCGTTGGAGCCGTTTCGTGTCAGCAGCAGATGGCGGTAGTTAGCTAGGCTGACTAACAGAGGGACGGCGACTTATGAGCTATCTTAGAAGCCATAATGGTTCTTTATGATTGATTATGACTCCAGTAATGACGCCAGTTTTAGGAACACCTTGTTACATCGTAGGGCCAGAATTGATGATGACGTGGCAGCATTTGTGGGTTCCGCGTAGGAGTACACGCGGCGTGCGACTGAACCTTATCGCACCAGCGACGCCAAGTGGCATGCGACCGAACCTAATCGCACCTGCGACTCCACCGCGCCTGAAGCGCGCCGAGTGTGGTTCAGCGCGGTGACCCCACGGACGAACCGTCCCCACGGAGCGTTTCGATTGGTCGATAGGTTGTCCGCCGCCGCGCATCGTCGGTCGGAGGCGAGCACGCGGAGGGTTTCGCGGTCAGCGCAGGAGAGGATTGGGCCGTGAAGGAAGGGGGAAAGGGGAAACGGGGGAAGACGGGAAAGGGGAGGGCGGGAAGGAGAAGGGGGGAAGGGGGAAAGGAGGAAAGGGGAGAGGAAGAAGGGGACGACGGATGGCAGGAAAGCAGACGGTTTGTGGTGTTTCGAAGAGCATCTCACGGAAAAGAAGCCGCAAGGACCTAGGGGGAAGGAGGAGCAGGGTGGGGGAGTTGAAGGGGGGGACGAGGCGGAAGCGACGAGGAAACTGGGGGGCGGGAAGGTGGGGAGAAGGGGAGGCGGAAGGGGAGGGGTAAGGGGAGGGGGAGACATGTGTGGTAATGGAGGATGGACACTCGAAACGAGTGATTCTAAGGAAAGGGTAACGCCGGATCGAATGAATTACGATGCATGTTCCTAGGCTCCGTGAAATACGGGCTATTGAGGCCCCTCAGGATACATAGGGGGGTTCGTGTCGCCGGTCGAGACTCTAGACGCTAGAGTACGTCCCTAACAGGCTGTAGGCTACTCACGGGGTGCGAGGAAGACAGTAACGAGGACAAGAAGACACCAGGCTCGTACTCCAGCCATGTCGGCACCCGACGGGCTTAAACTTCAAGTTTACACGGCGCGTTTGCGTAACGAGAGCTTCACTCAGTGTGCGGCGATTCAGTCAATGTGCGCGCCACTGCAGGTTGGCTCCTTCTAGGATTGATACTTAGTCGTGAAGGTGGAGCTAAATAGGAGCCTCAATAGGAATCGCTTGCTCAAATGTCCACAGCAAAAGAAAACGATGCAGAGTAGTGCGAGAATGCGGAAAATGAGGATGGTAGTGCGCGAGTGTTTGTTCGGCGATACGATGCAATGCCCACCTGCTCCATTTCGCACGATGTGCCACCAGTGGCAGTCACATTTTCAGATTTTCCCCGCATGAACGACAAACCATCGAAGGTGGCGGACTCGCGCAAAGAGGACCTTCCACGAAAGAAGCGACGAGCGGAAACTGTTTCGCTGAGGTCGCGAATCCGTGAGATTTTTTGCTGAAGCATGCGAAAATTGCGACAGGCGAAAACCGACCTAGAGTCCACGTTCCACCAGATTCACCGACCAATCAGCAGAAAACTGAAGTGTGCGTTACCAGGGCCAGGTGACACCAGCCCCAGGTGTCCCCAGCAATCACCATCTGTGCGGTTTCACCTGCAGAAATGTGCTCACTATATAAGGGCGTGTCTTGCAGGGTGTAGTTTGGCCATTTACATATTTTTTTAACGAAATTCTGATTGTTCACAAAACTGCTGTCCGCACGCACAGAAAATGCCACGTATCCGCCTGACGCGAATCCACTTTCTGCACACCGAAAAAAAGTCCCGCCCTTGTGAAAACCGAACCGGGTACAAGCTTGACCACACGGACGCGAGCGGTAACCATGTAGCAAGCCAAAATTCGCCACATGAAAATTCGCTCCAGACTTTTCGCCTGGACTGTTTTCGCGAACCCCTAAAATTCGGGTAACACATACTGCAAACCCCGAAATGTACCTGTACGTGTTCTGTGCTATTATGCATGGCACGTGCGGCTCACGAACTTGGACACGTAAAAAAAATGAATGTCAGAAAGGAATTAGGGGGCGCCTGTCTGGTTGGTATGATATTACAGATGTAACAAGGTGTTATCGAGTAACAGGACCTGAAAATGAATGTACTTCCAAGCAAGACACACCCTAATAACCTTACGTTTCTTCTCAATTATTGAATAGCCCCAAACAAGGGTGAAAAGAAACTTGCATGATGCCTCTTGTTTTGTGTGTGACTTCACTTAGCTCACTCCAGTCTGCAATGTGGGCCATACAAGATACCAGTAGATGGACACCAAGATGGGTAAACTCCACCCCCTTTATTACACTTCTCATTACACAATCACGGTACTACTCCAGACTTGAGGCAGAATATCAAACGGCTTTACAGCTTGTGCGCAACAATGCAGCGGTGGCGAGGGCTGCTCTCCATCTGCTGGGGGTACTCGAACCCTCTCTCCGCAATGGCATCCTCGATAGGGAAGGTGCGGTAGTCATCCAGGTATGGCTCCGTTGCCTTGAACTGGAAGGTTGGGAGGGAGTAGGGAGGTGTGAAGTGAGCAACAGCAGCTGTGTTTCTCTTCCACAGCATCCTCCATGGGGAATGGGCTGTAGTCATGCAATTATGGCTCCTTGAACTGCAGGTCATGCGAGGGAGTGGAGAGAAGGAAAAAAACGAAGGGAGTGGAGAAAAGGGGATTGGAGAGAACAAGAGTGGCAAGGAGAGAAGAAGAGGAGCAGGTGGAACCTTTGAGTAAGCAAGTGCAAAATGCAGCACTGAACACACATTTTACAGCCAGAACAAACAGGCAGTTAGAGATCAATCAAAACTGACAGCGGCACACGTGCCAACTGCGAGGGAAGTAAGCACGTGGCAACATCACAGCATGCAGCATAGCAGCACTACTGCACGCAGTATGCAGCTCACAACAGTGACATACATGCAGATAACTAAGGATCTGACCACATCAGGACAGCAGCAACCACCACAGCACCACAACACACGCACCGCAGCGAAGGTGAAGGGGTTGTTGGAGATCTTCTGGAAGAAGGGCGAGCGTGGGTTCATCTCCATCACTGCGAACGCGCCCCCTGGCCTCAAGATGCGGTGCGCCTCCTCTATGATCTGCACAGTATGAGGGGTTGGTCATGGTGAAGCGGGTTTAGGAGAACAGATTTTGCAGCACCTCAAGGCACCAACCTTGGCCTCAGCATTTGATGCGTCTCCACAATAATCTGAGCAGTGTGAAGGGATGGTCATGGTGAAGTGGGTTCAGGAGAAATGACTGTGCGGCGCCCCAAGTCACCCCCTCCACACCAAAACTTGTTGTGTCTCCTCGATAATCTGAGCAGTGCAAGGGGATGGGTGAGGCAATTCAGGTTTCGAAAAAAGAATTCCAATAACACCTTACATCTCAAGCCTCTCAGCAGGTGCATCATCAGCCATCAGCTCCCCCGTGTCAAGCATCTGTGACTTCATTGGCAACCACACACTACCCACCTTGACTGTCCAGAGAGCCACCCTGTAGCACACGCGTGTAAGCTCTTCGGGGTTGAGAGATGGTGCCCATCACACAGCCACGAGACCGACGGACGGATGACACGTCCAAGGCTGAGGATGGAAGCAGCCCAGCCTCCTCTGCCACTCACGCCTCTCTCTAACACGTGCACTCACATCCACGCCCTGACATTCTTGTTGGCTGATATTGCCAGCTGGTGGCACATGGGACATCTGGACACCAGGTTCACTCACCCATCCCGCAGGCCCCTCTCCTGGTGTAGCTGGATGCCTTTTCCACGCCTACACGCACACATGCCTGCCCCCCTCTCCCCAACCCGCACACGCATTGCTCGCTCCTCACCTTCTTGGTGGCTGATCGCGGCAGCTCATGGCACACGAGGCAGACGGACATCAGGTCCACCCCGAACCGGCAGGCAGAGCCTCTCCTCGTTGCTGCTGCCTCGCACCCACATGCCTGCCACCCTCTCTGTCCCTCACTCTCTCACCTTCTTGGTGGCTGATCGTGGCAGCTCGTGGCACACGAGGCAGATGGACACCAGGTCCACGGAGCCAGCAGGCAGCCCCGTGTCCTCCGCGGCCGCATGGATGAACGTAAAAGGCAGCTCGCGCCCCTGGGGGGGATGGGTGTGGGGATTACGTTGAGCGATCATGGTGCCTCCAAAGTGAATGCAAGGGCAGTTCATGCCTCTGCCAGGTTGGGACGGATGTATGGGGGACCGTGGAATGAGCTGTTCGTTTTCTGAGGCGCCTAGAGAATGCAGCATTGGGAACGGAGTAAAGGAGTGCGTGACGTGGAGCGTATACTCGAGAATTAGCACTTGGTGCCAGCGCTTGGATCCAGAACGACAAGGCGTGACAGATCAGTGAGTTGACCTGAGAGACGCAGTGTGAGAAGGCTCAGAGTACGCCGTGTTGTGTGCCATGCAGAGGGGGTAGAGAGGGGCATGTTCGCCTTATCTAAAGCGTTTCGAAACCTCACCGCTTGCTTGCTCTTCTCCCGGACGTTGTAGTTGGACGCAGCAACGAAGTAGGGTGAGAGGTCAACACCGATAAACTCCGCGTCAGGGAAGGTCTGCATGGGGAGAACGAAAAGACGGGGTAATCAGGCGAATATTAAGGGAGAGTCAAGGGGCCCTTCAGTTGACGCTGTGCAGGAGAGTCAATGAACAGCATCAGCAGCAGGGGAATGAGCGCCCGCACCAGCATCCCTGGATGCATGAAGGCAACGCGGCGAGGGTCTCGGAAGGAAAGCACAAGACGGATGTTTGGAAAGCAATACAGGAGGACGTTTCTTGGATCCAGGCGTACCTCGGCGAGCGCGAAGGTGCTGAGGCCGGACGCGCAGCCCAGGTCAACGATGCTCTTGGGGTGGATGCGCAGCTGCTCCACCAGCTTCGCGTGGTACCCCCTCCGCAGATTCGCGTCTCCCTCGGGGTCTAGCTTCTTGCTCTATCGCGGGTCGAGGGGGCGAGATAGGGATGGAGGAGAGGGAACAAAGGGAGAGGATGGAAGGTTGAAGTGGTGGTGGGAACGGCCGAGGGGAGGAAAGAATAGGGGAGAGTGGAGAGAGGTGTATACGGGATGGGATCTCAGAAGTTGACCAGCTTCATGTGGTGCGTGTGCTATGAGTCCCGAAATCGATTGACACCCCCTCCTTAACTAGCGCTTTCTCTACAAAATGCACTGGTCGGTTCGTTTCAGCGTGTTTGGAGGAGACAGACCTGGTTCTGGAGCCTCAGACCCTAGCATCGTGTTCCTTTCACCGCAGCGGGTCAACAAGATAGGAAAAAAGAAGCGCACCTCGGGGTCGAAAATCGGTGCGTGTACAGCCTTCGCTGCCAGCTCCACCTCCAGAGCCGCGTCCAGCGAAAGGTTACCCTTTTCGTAAGCGTGGAACGGTTTCGTGTAGTATTCCGGGTAGACGTACTCCCCGCTGGCGTCCCTGGGGACGCGGCTCGTGGCGGCGACCAATCGCAGCTCCTCGTCCCAGTCGTGCCGCTTGAGCTCCGCGAGACGCGGCGCCCATGGGAATCCGATGGCGTCGCCTCGTTTGACCATCATTTCACGCGCCTTTCCCGCTGCGAACCTGAAAAAAGGCTGCGATGCGGACACGAAGGCACGAATCGGTGAAGGGGTGAGGAGGGAGAGGTATCAAGAAAGTGATCAATGTAACATCCGCATCATTGCGTACAGAGGTATTTCCACGTGTCAAAAAAAGTCTTCTTGCACTCTGTGATGATGTTTGATCAGCTGGCGGTGCAGTCTCTACCCACAGCCTGAGTCCTTCTTCTTCTTCTAAAAGTTCCATTTGATTTTCCTTCCAGAAGTGTCCAATCTACCTGGAAGCCGAAGATCGCGTTGATGGCGCTGGTCATGAGGTTCATAGTGGACGCGTCGCTGGTAGGCGTGTACTCGCCGGCGGACGCGGACGCATCGGCCTTCTCGACTCCAGGCGAGGCCACCTTGCAGCGAGCCACCGATCGTCGGGCATTTCCACCCACGCTCGCGCTACTGACCGCCTGCATTCACCATGATACCGCCGTTAGGACTGAATCTGCGACCTTGGAAACAGCCCTAGTAAGTAGAGCGCGGTTCGAGAATTCTCAGGATATGCGGCTGACACGAGTCTGAAGTTACGTCCTTTGTAACAGCGTGAGAAACGGAAGAGCACGTGGCGTGGGCTCTAATGCGTCTTTGCGGATGCTAACCTGTGGATTGCTGAGAGCCACGCCTCTGAAGGCGACTTGGGAGCTAGCAGCTAGGCACGCCATTGGTGGTCGACGAAGCGCGCTAGGGTTCCGCTAGGCTGATGGAGCGACAGGCTGCCTTGATCAGAAGACCGATGCCCTACGTGGCTACTGCTGAGCTGTACGCAGCCTGACACGGCTTAGGAGGTGAGCGGGACGTAAGGGCAGGTTGAAAAAAGAGAATGCTTGGTGTTGATACATATGTGGTGTCTTGTTGGCAATATCGAGGTTCGAGAAGCTGGGTGTTGGAGAAAAGCGACTCGGCGGCATTCTCGAGAGATTCAGCTGCGCTGAGTCAGCATGCGACAATTTGTCAGCACGACACAGCCAATAGCTTGTCGAGAATCGAGATGTCCCTACGGCGAAGGCGGAGAGATGGGACCACGGAATCCCCGACGCCCTGGCGAGTCATTCCCAAGCGGGTGCAGGGTTCGCGGACGTTACAGCGCGGCAAAAAGAGAATCTGTTCGCCAATAGAGTGTCGCAAGGGCATACAAGATCGTCTGCCAGTAAGATTACGGTTACCAGCCACGGTGGTGAGATATCTGGTGACAGCAATGCACAGCCACGTGTGCGAGAGTGATGGGCTTTCTCGGATGTCAACACGTCCGAAGACTCACCTTTCTCGAAATTTAGCCTCCAGCGCTGCTCAGCGAAGAGCGTTACATAGTGGAACACCTCTCACGTGTTTGCCGGGTTAGCTGAGACATTCGACTTCGCCTGGGTCGCCAATGTCGCAACCACCCAACAGCAGGGATTCCCAGATCAAACCATCTGATCCATCACTGCAATTTTCTCTAACATTTCAGCGTCTGGTTTTCCCTCAAACATTTCAGCGTCCTATCAATCGGAACCTATGTGCCAGACTTCCTCCTGTTTTTCATAGCTTCACCCACTGTATTGCCTCTCGCGCATCGCCAGCTCTAGATCTCCCGCCCTTCAGCCATGGCAACCACTCAAATGTTAAGTGCCGGTAGCACTGCCGTCCTACTGGCACCCAAGAGCTCGCTAGGTAAGAACGGTGCGAGTCATACGTTCACGGTGCCGACTTCCATCGTCGCTTAGTTTTGACCTTTCCTCGTGGTACCGTTTCAGGAGTCCCTAGCTTCCAGGGCCTTGCTGGAGCCAAGTCCTTGACATCGTCACCGAAACTGGTGGTTTCCAGAGCTGTCAACAGCAGACGGACAGCAACACGGACACTTGTTGTGGCGGATTCGGATTACAGGTGACATGCCGTGTTTTCTTGTCCGGCCGCTAGTTCATTTCCGCAGCTTGGTTGCTTTCTTGCTGGTTGTTGAGGGTGTTGTTTTTCCGGCCTCTGGCTTATTGCGAATATCTTCAACCATTGCAGGAGAGAGAGCGGAGGCGGGTTCTTCCCTGGCTTCATTCTAGGTGGTGTTGTATTCGGCGCCCTCGGCTACTTGTTCGCTCCTCAGGTTAGTCATTTTGGGACACTGCAACAGGTTATTTCGTGGATGCATGGAACGTCGTGTGTAAAAAAATGTTCCCTGAAACCCCATCCATCCCTGATAGATCTCGAAGGCCATTCTCGGAATAAACGAGGAGGGTTCCGCGCCGAAACTTCCGAAGTGGATAAGCGAGAGTGATAGCCTCGAGGTAGGTTGAACTGTCACTTCGATATCGCGTTTTTTTCCCGTAAGTCGAGGTAGCTCATTTTGTCGCATGGTTCGCGTTTCAGGAGAAGCGGAGGAAAATGAATGAAAAGCTTGCCGAGCTGAACCGAGCAATCGACAAGACGTCGGCAGAGCTGAAGGGGAGTGACTTTGCTGAAGCTCCTACCAATAGGCGCACTCCAAACGTCGATCACATCGAGGCCATCTAGTTGCCTTCATACATGCACATCTGCTGCTACCGTACGGATGACGATGCTGCAGATGTTCTCATTAACCGCATTTCATGGAAGCTTCTTTGGCTTTGCTCCACGCAAAGTCTGAGGGATTGTTTCTCCTGCTTATATGTTTGAGAAGGTATGTAGCTGGGTCCAGCAGCACTGGCAGCCAGACATTATGGCTGCTTCCAAATTATGTGTACGTTATCCACGTGCGGTACATGTACTTTCTAGTTGAAATAAATATACACACTCATCAATCCTCATACTCTTCACTATTGTAATAAACCTTTTCCTTACCCTTTCGTGATGGTTGGCGTTCTCTTGTTACTACGTGTGAATTGTGTGCCTCCCATTCCGTCTTCTCCAGTCTCTATAACTCGCGTCCCTTTCCTCAACATTCCTCTTAAAGACCTCATTCCAATCGACCTCTATCCATATCTCTACACTTCTTTCCCCTTCCCCCCCATTTTCCTGCCTCACTACCCCCACCTATCATCCTCCTTCCTCTTGCTCCCTATCACTCTGTCCAATCCTGGCGGTCTATCGCGCTTCCTCTGTACCTTTTCCCTGCTACCCCTCAGAACTGTTTTTTTCCTCTGTACATTCTCCCCTCCACCTCCCTCCATCCCGCATCTTCCTTGTACGCTCCCCCTCAACCTCTCTTTCTCCTCTGTCATCCATCCCAACACCAACTCCCCTCCGCTTTCTTTCTTTCTATTTCATCTTTCCCCTTACCCTCTTTTCATCCCCCCCTCGCTCCCCTCCAGTTGCTCCCTTCTCCTTAGTGCTGCCTTGTTCGCATCGCATGCTTCTTGTCTCGCTCTTCTCTCCATATATTTCCTTGCCCTTCCCCATGCTTTATGGGTTATTATCTGCGGTCCTTCCTCGCCCTTCCCTTCAGCACCCCGTGCTCCTCTCATTTCTCTTCACTGCCCCACCCTTTTCTCACTCTCTTCCTCTCCCACCCAACTTATCCCATTCACACGCTCCCACATGCACTGTTGCACTTCACCTCATTTTTCGGTACTCTTATGGAATGGACAAAATGAGTTGCCATTCGTAACATCACACCATGCCTACACGCCATGCCTAAAGCTTGAACTGCTTCGGCGCTAGGTTAAAATCAGTCATTACCATGGGAAGGCAAAAGTACAGATCCTTTAAAGCCAGCAGCTGAAATAGTGAACCCCGTCCCTCTTGAAAAAGGTGTTGCCAAGCTAGAATGAAACCAGTCTGCCAAACACTGTTTCATACGAATCGTATGGGCAGAGTGAACTTGTGTGATTGGCTCTCGCCAATATGGGGAATGATTCGGTTCCCGCCAAAATCAACTTTCTGGCACATTTCAGCATGGTTTTCTATCGCCAGGCCAACTTCAATTTCGAGCTGGTCTGGGGTTCACAACTAGTTTTTCCGAAACCTCCAGTCACTAGTTTTCCGCATAGTATACTAAGAACAAGAGCTGAGAACATGAGCGTTTCTGTCATAGGCTCGGTATAATCGACGAGTGCGTCAACTGTCGACTTACGATACCACGAGTGCGTGATGTAGTAACACGTGACCTAGAAGCGCGGTGTTAGTTTTTTGTCTCGTGCCTTCACCATCTCCCCTACCCTTCAGTCGTTCGTCCTCTGTCCGCTCCCCCCCCCCCCGTCGCCCTCTCTTTCTCCGCCCTCCCCGTCGCCCTCGCTCTCCCCCCTCCCCTCCCCTCCCAACGCCCTCTCTTTCTCTTCCGTTCGCTCTCCCTCCCGTCGCCTTCGCCCTCACGGTACCGTCGCCTGTCCGCTCTCCCTCACGTCGCCTTTCCGCTCCCCCTCCCCTCGCCTTCGCGCTCTCCCTCCCGTCACCTTCGCGCTCTCCCTCCTGTCGCCTATCCGCTCTCCCTCCCGTCGCCTTCACGCTCTCCCTCCCGTCGCCTGTCCACTCTCCTTCCCATTGCCTGTCCGCTCTCCCTCCCCTTGCCTTAGCGCTCTCCCTCCTCGTCGCCCTCTCATTCTCCTCTCCCTCCCGTCGCCTGTCCGCTCTCCCTCCCGTCGCCTTCACGCTCTCCCTCCCGTCGCCTGTCCACTCTCCTTCCCATCGCCTGTCCGCTCTCCCTCCCCTCGCCTTCGGGCTCTCCCTCACTTCGCCTGTCCGCTCTCCCTCCCCTCGCCTTGGCGCTCTCCCTCCCGTCGCCTGTCCGCTCTCCCTCCCGTCGCCTTCGCGCTCTCCCTCCGGTCGACTTTCTCCTTCCCCACTTTATCTCCTATCGCTCACGGCCTCCCCTCCCATTGGCATCGCGCTCACGTTCCTCCCTCCCCTCGCCATCGCGCTCACGGCCTCCCTTCCTATTATGTCTCGCGCCATCATCGAAGCCAGCAAGCACGTCTCGCGCCGTCGCTATCTCCGATCACGTCTCGCACCGTCGCTATTTCCCCCCGTCACCCCGTCGCGCTCGCTATTCCCCCCCCTCTTCCCGTCGCGCTCGCTATTGTCAAACTATATGTGCTGCATATTGTCTAGGCTGTAGTGGGGTAGCCCATATGGGGTACAACCCAATTAGGGTTTACTACTTGTACTCCTGCATCCTGTTAGTTCACATCATTCCTGCTGCTAGATTCTAACATGGTTTCAGAGCACTAAGGTCCGTAGGACCGTTTTTTTTTCGGGCCCACCTACCGCTGCGGTTACCGCGCTACCCCACGTGCCTGCCTGCCTTGCCTTGCCTTGTGACGTGCTGCCCTAGGCCGGTGCGCTGCCCCTAGAGGCCCGTAAGGCCCGCGCGCCGCCTCTACACGCCTGTCAGGCCCGCACACACACTTCTACCGCGCGCTGCCCGCACCGAGACCGCGCAGCCCGCACCGAGTCGCGCGCAGCCCGCTGCAGCCACGCGCAGCCCGCACCGAGCCGCGCGCAGCCCGCTGCAGCCGTGCGCATCCTGCACCGAGCCGCGCACAGCCCGCTGCAGCCGCGCGCAGCCCGCGCCGAGCCCACGCAGCCCGCGTCGAGCCGCGCGCGGCCCGCAGCAGCCCGCGCCGAGCCGCGCGCGGCCTGCTACTGCCTCGCACGGCCCGCGCGCGGCCCGCAACAGCCCGCGCCGAGCCGCGCGCGGCCCGCTACTACCTAGTGCGGCCGCGCGCGGCCTGCAGCAGCTCCGCGCGCTGTCCGCGCAGCCCGCGCCGAGCCGCGCGCGGCCCTCTGCCTCGGCCTCATCAGGTACATGAGGCAGCCTACAAGCTCTGGGTACGGGCCACTCGGCTCTACGGACTCGTCCGTGTTAGAATCTAGCAGCAGGAATGATGAACTAACAGGATGCAGGAGTACAAGTAGTAAACCCTAACTAGGTTGTACCCCATATGGGCTACCCCACTACAGCCTAGACAATATGCAGCACATATAGTTTGACACACCCCCATAGGCAAAGTGGGGGAGAACAAGGGGTCACACGACCAGTCAAGAGAAGCAAAACAAGCTCAGGGTGGATCACAACGTCACCACGCATTCTGAGCACAAGCAAAGGGCCACTGGGCCAGTTCACATGCAGAGATATATATGCAGCAATAACAGTACAGTGATGGCTACCTAGCAAGAGCCAGCATGCATATATATATATATATATGTACAGATCACAGTACAAGCAGAGACTACAGCAAGTGTGGAAACGTAGGCACAAGGCCTAACAGAGTACAAAAGCGCTGATGATCACCAGACGGAAGTGCCTTGGTGAATATGTCAGCAGTGTTGGCCCGAGTGGCCACGTGGCGAAGACGAAGCTGGCCTCGCTGCTGCAACTCTCGAGCCAGGAAGTACCGCAGAGCAATGTGCTTCGTTCTGTGCTCCAGTCTGTGCTCCTCACACAAGGCAATGGCGGCCTTGTTGTCAACGTACAGCACTGGAGGAGAACGAGGCTGCTCTCCCAAGTCAGTCAGCAGGTAGGTGAGCCAGCGTAACTCCTGTGCAGCCATGGCGGTGGCGTAGATCTCAGCCTCACAACTGGAGCCGAGAACTGAAGTCGAGCGTGTAGAACGCCACGAAACTGAACCAGAGCCAAGGCTGAAGGTGTAACCCTGTGACGACCGCTGAGTAGCCAGGTCGTCAACCCAAGAAGCGTCTGAGTGCCCAGTGAGGACAACTGGGCTCGTCCCTCCAAGCACTAGCCCCATGCCTGATGTGCTGCACAAGTAGCGCAGTACCCTCTTAGCAGCAGCCATGTGCTCAGGTCGGTGCCGACCAGGAGCCACGTAGCGAGCCAGGAGACCAAGAGGGTACGCGAGGTCAGGTCGAGTGCAAGTCATCAGGTACATGAGGCAGCCGACTAGCTCTGGATAAGGACCACTCGGCTCTACGGACTCGTCCGAAGGTGGAGCTGAGAGCGTGTGACCTGTAGCCAGAGGAGTGGCCTGTGCTGAAGACCAGGTGAAACCGAAGCGCTGAAGGACCTGCTGCACCATGTGTGACTGAGTCAAGGTGATGGTGCGACGTGCTCTGTCTCGGGTGATCTGCAAGCCAAGGTAGCTGCGCAGCTCACCCAAGTCTGTGCACGTGTGTCTCTTCTGCAGCTCCGACTTCACGTGGGCGAGAGCCTCAGTATCAGCAGTGGCAAAAACCAAGTCGTCGACATACACGAGGATGTAGAACGGCGGCAGGGAAGTGTCGGTGCGCAGAAACAGCGACGGGTCAGCAGTAGAAGGCGCAAACCCAAGAGCCGCAAGCGTAGTCCTCAGTGTATCGTGCCACTCACGTGGCGCCTGGCGGAGACCGTAGACCGGCCGCCGGAGGCTCCACTGGGTACCAGGAGGGAACGACCCAGTGAAGCCCGGGGGGCGGCGCAGCCAGATCTCCTCGTGCAGGCTGCCCTGCAGGAAAGCTGTGCTGAAGTCAAGAGAGTGAAGCTCGTAGTCACGGTGAGCAGCAACGTGCAGCAGCACCCGAAGAGTGGTCATCTTCGGAGTGGGGGAGAAGGTCTGGAAGAAGTCAACTCCCTCTCGCTGACTGAAGCCTCGAGCCACGTAACGCGCCTTGAAGACAGGCGGAGAACCCGGCGGCCGCTTCACCCTGAAAATCCACATGCCACTGACGATGTTCGCCCCAGGTGGGGGAACCTCGTCAACGTAGGTGCCTGTGGACTTCCAGGAAGCCATCTCTGCGTCCATGGCTGCCTGCCACTGAGAGGAGTAGGGACCCTCTATCGCCTCTGCGTAAGAGCGCGGAGTCGGGATGTCTGGTGCATCCGGGTCTCCCTCAGGGGCAAGTAGCGAGGACACAAGATGAGGTAAAGCAGCAGCAAGACACTGGAACTCCTCCTGCCTGTCCTCAAGGACGTCCGTGCTAAGAGCACACTCACCCCCGACGGACGGAGGACAGACAGACTCAGACTCAGCAACAAGACTAGCGGCGTAGTCTAGACGACAGGCAGCAGCAAAGTCAACAAGCTCAGCGACCAAGGCAGACGCAGCAGCAGACTCAAACGACGGGTCAGTGACAACTGTGGCTAGTAGACGCGTGACAGTAGGGTGCTGAGCACGAAACCGGTCAGACGCAGGGTCCGGAACGTCAGGCAAAGAGGACGCAGGAGGAGACGGCAGAGGAACAGGCTGCGGAACAGAGGAAGGACGACGGACTACGAGGTGCGCGCTGGGGACAGCCGGCGGACGCGAACGAGGAACACGAGGACCGGTACGACCAGGACGAACAGGCGAGACAGGACGCGACGCAGGCTCACGACGCACAGCAGGACTACCAGTCAGCTCAGCGTAAGGAGAAGGAGCAGGCAGCGGCGAGCCAGTCTGTAACGGAAGACCAGTAGACGACGGAAGAGTAAGAACCTGACGAAGAACAGAGGCAGACGGCGGCAGAGACGACGGAGACGGCGGAGCGAAGAACAGTCGTGTCGGCGCAGCTGCACCAGCCTCAGCAGGTCCAGCAGCTCCAGTGCCTCCAGCAGCTCCAGTACCTCCAGTAGCTCCAGTACCTCCAGCAGCTCCAGAAGCTCCAGGCCCAGAGCCGACACCTCGAGTCCCAGGGTCTCCAACCTCTGTGTCTCCAGCAGCAGCACCCCCAGAACCAGCACCTCCAGTCCCAGGGTCTCCAACCGCAGGGTCTCCAGCAGTAGCACCCCCAGAACCAGCACCTCCAGCTCCAGGGTCTCCAACCTCAGCGTCTCCAGCAGCAGCACCCCCAGAGCCAGCACCTCCAGTCCCAGGGTCTCCAGCCTCAGTGTCTCCAGCACGAGCCCCTCCAGAACCAGCAACTCCAGCACCTCCAGTAGACAAAGGACCAGCACGACTCCGAGCTCCAGCAGCGCGACGCTGACGGCGACCGTACCAGTCCTGCAGCTGCTGTGGGGTGAGAGGCACACGGGGACGAAGGCGGCCACTCCAAGGAGACCGCGCAACAGCAGACTCAGAACCCTCAGCGCCCGCACCCCCAACGGCTCCAGAACCTCCGGTGTCAGTACCCTCAGCACCAGTACCTCCAGCGACTCCAGAACCTCCAGCGCGAGCACCCTCAACAGCTCCAGGACCTCCAGCTCCAGCGCCACCAGGACTAGGCCCTCCAGCAGCTCCTGAACCTCCAGCGCCAGCACCCTCAGTAGCTCCAGAACCTCCAGCGTCAGTACCGCCAAGCTCAGCACCCCCAGACCCCTCACACGCAGGCTCAGCACCACCAGGCTCTACACCCTCAAGCTCCGCACCCTCAGGCTCAGTACCCCCAGACTCAGCACCCCCAGGCTCCGCACCCCCAGGCTCCGCACCCCCAGCAGGACCACTCGCAGGAGGACCTGAGTCACCAGTGACCTCAACCGGCGCAGTCAAGGGAGGAGGGTCTACCTGAGAAACACCTGAAGGAGCAGGACCGGGAGCGGGGAGGGGGTCTACCTGGGGAGCACCTGGAGCAAGGAAGAGCGGCGGGGGGGGGAGCGAGGCAGTGCGGTAGGGGAAGAGACGGTAAAAGGGAACCGACTCGTCGAACGTGACGTCCTGAGACGCAAAGACACGGCGCGAGGTGGGGTGGTAAAACTGCCAACCAGGCGCGTCAGGGACAAAGCCAAGGAAGACACAGGGAACAGCGCGGGCGGAGAGCTTGTCCGCGGTGGTATCGCGGACAAAGGCACGAGCACCCCAGACCCGGAAACGCGACGCATCGCCAACCTTCCCCGTCCACAGCAGTGTGGGCGAGGTCTCCGGCAAGGAGACACGGGGCCAGAGGTTGAGCTGATGCGCGGCGTACCGGACCGCAAACGGCCACAGAAAATGGGGGGCAGCCGCATGGATCATGGAGGTACGAGCGACCTCCATGACTAAGCCAATGCGGCGCTCAGCAACCCCATTCTGCTGCGGAGAGGCCGGAAGCGTGAACGACTGGGTGATGCCGTGCTCCGCACAGTAGGCTGCCAAGAGGTCGGAGGAGAACTCACCACCTCTGTCAGAGTGCAGACGCAGGACAGGAAAGTCCGACCGGAACCGCTCGCGGAGCTGGAGACGAACAGCGCGGATCCAGGGGATCAAAACAGCAGGGACGTC